GAGAGAGAGAGAGAGAGAGAGAGAGTGTTGAGGAGGAGGACATTAATCTTAATTTACCTGATCTGTGATTTCATATTTGAAAAGTCTGTCAAACTGCCAAGGCATTTCTGCAGCTCCTCCCAGCACGGTGAAATAGCCTCCCTGGAAGCAGGACTCCATGCCTTTGGTGCAGATATCAAAGGTAACCATTGCAGAGCTGCCGAAACCCTTCAGAAGGAAGCCTGAAATTAGGTAAAAAAAAACAACTTGCAAGTTGTAGCAGCGACGACAGCGACACCATAACCGCCATTACCACTTCTACCTCCACCTCCACCTCCACCTCTACCTCCATCTCCACCTTCACTACCGCCATTTCCACCACTACCACAATCACAACCACCACCACAATCACAACCACCACCACCACCACCACCACCACCAACAACACCACCACCACCAACAACAACACCAGAAACCTAAACATAAAGTAAAACAAACATCCCCCAAACAAAGACAATAACAAAAACAAACAAACAAAATAAGGGGAGGGGGGGGGGGGGTGATCACGCCATCATGATTTTAGATGCAGAAAAATACCCATTGTTTGAGAGAATCATTCGTTCTCAAACGGATTATAGATTCAGTATAATATCATAGACACAGTGGAGGTTCAATCAAACAATCCCAATATCTCAGCGCTTAAATGACCAAAATTGTGTCGATAGTGCCGTAAAACATCTACCCAATCAATCAATCAATCAATATCCCTTACCCTTCTCCCTCCGAGACTTAACATTGACAACACACTCTATGGAACATTGCAGCAACTGCAGCAAACTTGCACTTATCACTACATGGCATTGAACAGAAGGGCGAGAGCCCAGCTATTGCTGGATCGATAACAACAACAACAACAACAACTCAGTATCCCTATTAGTTATTTTTCCGGACCGACCTGCAAAGACTCTGCTTCTTTCTCTTCTCTCCTTGATGAAAGCGTCAAGCCTCGGGATGTTCATGCCCACAAACTCCAGATTGTCGTACCGGTAGTTGAAGTGACCTTCATAGTCAAATGTGTCCTCGGGTTTGGAGTACTCCTTGGTCATCTCATTCAGGTTGTACGGGCTGCCGAAGCTAAACGGCTTCAGAGGCTCCTGTCAAAAAGAAAGAAGATTGTGGTAAGACCGAGCCAACGATCAACAATCGTACAAATCAAAACCCCACTGAACCTTGGGTAAAGCCGAGACACTGTGTCACAGAACAATTAAATACAATGCTATGTAAGGTACATAAACAACCACAACGTAACACCTGCATTGCAGATTCTTTAAATATATATACATTGTATTTGGAATATTACTTTATGCATTTATGTCTGCAAGGTGTGTGAAAGCAATATCCATGATACATGTATATGATGCAAATATTACAATAATATGCATGCAAAGAGAAAAGAGAAAAGAAGCAACAAAAACCCCCCAAACAACAACAACCAACCAACCAAACAAAAAGAAAAAAAAACACAAAAAAAACAACCCAGACTCACAAAAAACACCCCTTAAAAACAAAAAACAAAAACAAAAAACAAATAAACCCAAAAACAAAAATCCCAAGCCAAACCAAAACAGAACAAAAACAAACAAACAACCACCCCAGCCTCGTAAAACAAAAGCAAACGCGTCCAAAACCAAAAGATTAAGGATCAATGAGTGTACACACGTTGTGTAGGCAGAAGAAGTGTGTAACTTGTAACGGACTTCTGAGGTGTAGCGGCTAGGTGCATAGCCATTGCACACAAAAGATCCGAGGTCTTTTTTTTTGGGGGGGGGGGGGGGTTATCAAGTATCTCTGTCTTTTTGCTGGGACGATGTTTCCATCTCCGAACGTGTTAGTCCTGACATCAAGGTCGACGTCTATCTCCTGAATGATCTAAGCTGTGTCAGTGAGGGCGTAAAAACATTCACATTTATCAAGACGAAAGGGGAACGGTTTGCACAGAGCTTGAGAAACTGCCCAGAAAAGTACGACTGAGAGGAAAGGTGGCACGGTTGGAGATCAGGGGAGATGCACTAGGTAGTTGCAGCAGCCAACACTCCTTGTAGTGATGCTGCACTGGGAGTGAGTAGTAACTTAAATGCTTCAGAAAAAATAGAAATAAAATCAGTATCTGAATAGAAATCGTTCGCCCTTGAAAAGTGAAGTGGCCTTTAAGAAAAACACCCAAAACATGAAAATGTTTTTAACATAAAGCTCTCCTTAAAGAGCGACAAAGAAAGTGTCTTTCCCCTTAAACTTTAAAAGCGAGGAATCAAAATCAAATTATGCGAATGTTTCGATGACTGTTGAGAATCACACTCTAATCAAAATATTGTCAAAGAAGAATGGTTGATACGGAAGTTTCAATGCAACATCTCTTGCACTCCCCGGCTTATGTTTATAAATTAAATCTCGCCCGCGTTTCTACAACGTTTTGTATGTAATTCCTTACCGATTCTAGCCCTGGGCAAAAATACGTAACGAAATGATATCTGGAACAAGAGTAAGAAGTGACTGTATTATCTGTAATCATCTTTGACTTCTTGCTTGTTTGTTCTGCATACTTGACCAGATATCTACAAGAAATACCATTAAAACCCCCCCC